CTCACTGTTGTGGCCTCTCCCGTTGCGGAGCACAGTCTCTGGACGCGCAGGCGCAGCGGCCATGGCTCACGGGCCCAGCCACTCCGCGGCATGTGGGATCCTCCCGGACCGGGGCACGAACCCGCGTCCCCTGCATCTGCAGGCGGACTCTCAACCACTGCGCCACCAGGGAAGCCCCTGTGTCCTGTTTTTGATTCCACGTGTAAGTGATATATGGTATTTGTCTTTCACTGTCTGACTTACTTCGCTTAGTATGATAATCTCTAGGTCCATCCATATTGCTGCAAATGGCATTATTGCCACCACATCTTCTTTATCCATTCATCTATCAGTGGACATTTAGGTTGTTTCCATGTCTTGGCTACTTTAAATAGTACGCAGCCAACATTGGGGTGCATGGATAAATACAGGAAATTTGATTATAACAAATTCTAGAACATCAATTTTTTTAAATGTAAAATATATTTAAAATATAAAGCATTATTCAGAAGATGAGTACTTCTTTTTTCCTGTTACCAAAAAATTCTGAGACTTTTTATACGTTAAATTTTGTTACTGATTTGCTCTTTTCTCCTCTCTTTTGGAACTTAATCATTTATTCCTTGCTCTCTATTTATATCTCATTGGCTTCTCCACTGAATGTAAACGTGCTTAAGTCTCTTTCATTGTATATAAACCAAAACAAAATTAATGAACTCTCAGACCCTTTGTCTCTCTCCCCAGCCTCCATTCTTGTCTTCCCTTCAAACCATGAAAGAATAGACTAAAACCCATTTTCTCTACTGATTCACTTTACATTCACTCTTTTTTTTCTTTTCTGCTCATTTCTTCCTTTTTATTTTTAATTAATTTATATTTTATTTTTTGGCTGCATTGGGTCTTCGTTGCTGCACACGGGCTTTCTCTAGTTGTGGCGAGCGAGGGCTACTCTTTGTTTCCGTGCGTGGGCTTCTCATTGAGGTGGCTTCTCTTGTTGTGGAGCACGGGCTCTAGGCGCTTGGGCTCAGTAGTTGTGGCACGTGGGCTCAGTAGTTGTGGCTTGCGGGCTCTAGAACTCGGGCTCAGTAGTTGTGGTGCATGGGGGATCTTCCCAGACCAGGCTCGAACCCGTGTCCCCTGCATTGGCAAGCGGATTCTTAACCACTGCATCACCAGGGAAGTCCTCCATTCGCTCATCACGTCCCTGGCCTCTGCCGTTGCCCTGCCAGTCAGATTAGCCCATCCTGTCGGGGACATCATCTTGACGTTGCATTTTTTTTGGTGTGTTGTTTGTACTGCCTTCTTCCCGAAGCGCCTCCCCCGACTCTGAGCACACCCTCCTGTCCCCTTTATGCCTTTCTGCCTGTCCACTGCAGACCTTAGCAGGCTCCTCTGCCAGCTTCTCATCTTTTTGGCCAGCCCTGAAATGGTAGTTTTGCCTTGAATTCTAATTGGGTTTCTTTTTCAGATTAAACCAGTGTTTCTCAACATGTTTTTTAAAAACCCTTTTTCCCTTTGATAAATAAAAATCTCTGGCTCCTCTTCTGGTGGTGCTCGGGGTTGGGGCGGGGGGTATGTGATTCTTCCCTCCCATCCTCTCACTGAGAGTCAGTGACACAAAGAAGATTGAAGGTTTACTCAGATTTATTTTCTATACCTTATAATCTGAAAACAGTAGGTAATGTTTGCTTTTCCAAGCATGAATATGCTTTTTCAAACCCAGCCACCCCTTCTCCCACCTCCTGGAAACTTTGGCGCTTCCTCCCCTTGGACGTCGCTGCTGTCCGTCCACTCTCCGTAGGTGATGCTGTAGACCCGCCTCTGCGCAGGCCACAGCTTTCTATCTCCAGTGCAGACCTCGTTCTGAGTTGAAGGCCTGTATGTCTAGCGTTTTGTTCATTTCCACCTTGCCGGCTGTGGGCATTCTACAGCTCAGTACGCCCCCAAGTGAACTGGTCATCCTCTCCCCCAAGCAGCTCTTGCTGTAGTGTGTGACTTGGGCAGTAGGAGCAGCGCCACGTTCTGTACAGCTGCCTGGTGAGTGCCGTTGAGTTGGTTCACAGATCTTCAAACGCATCTGCAAGTTTTCCCTGTGTCCCCTTCTCCTTCCCTGTGTTCCTGCTCTGGGTCGTGCCTTCATACGCTCCTGTTCAGGTTTTTCCAGTATTACCCTAACTTGTGTCCTTGCCTCCAGTCTCCGTTCTGGCTTCCACACTGCCTCCAGGATGATTTTTCTAGAATATAATCTGTTCATGTGCTTCTCTTGCTCAAAACCCTTCAGTGATTCCTACTGGTGTTCTACAGAGTTCCTAGCGTTTTTTTGCATCATGATCTAATCTGAGAGGCTACCGAAAGAAATTGAGTGGTTTTTTTTCCCTCCAGAAACAATGCTCATGCGCACAGAATTTGCATACAGTTCTGTGGGTTCGTTAATGGACATGGTTAAAATAATTTTCCAGCTTACAGGATAAAACCCGAGCTGCCAAGCATCCTGTAGCATACGAGGCAGGCCACATGCTGACTACTGTGAGCCCCATCCTTGTATCATAGGACTTTGCCATGTCAAGTGGGTAATTTTTGTGTTGTTCCCTGCTGTTCCAAAACACTTCTGTGCCTTTTCCGGGTCTACTTGACATCTAAAGTTCACGTCGTCCCATTCCCCAGCTGGGTCAGTTGGTGACTAATCACTCATGTTCCAAGATCTGCTCAGATTTTACCTTATAAAGCCTTTCCTGATTTCCACTTTTTTTTAAAAAAAATTTATTTATTTTATTTATTTTTGGCTGTGTTGGGTCTTCGTTGCTGTGTGCGGGCTTTCTCTAGTTGCAGCGAGCGGGGCCTATTCTTCGTTGCAATGCGCGGGCTTCTCATTGCAGTGGCTTCTCTTGTTGTGGAGCACGTGCTCTAGGTGTGCAGGCTTCAGTAGTTGCAGCACATGGGCTCAGTAGTTGTGGCTCGCAGACTCTAGAGTGCATGCTCAGTAGTTGTGGCGCACGGGCTTAGGTGCTCTGCGGCATGTGGGATCTTCCCAGACCAGGGCTCGAACCCGTGTCCCCTGCATTGGCAGGCGGATTCTTAACCACTGTGCCACGAGGGAAGCCCTCCACTTCTTTTTTCTTTCTCTCGAGAGAATTACCTGTTCCTTGTTTTGGGTTGCCCTTCCCACTCATGTATACTGACTCGTATCACAGAATTTTATTGTTCTTATTTGTTTCTATGCTTTTGTTTTCCTCTACTTGATAGAAAACTCCTGAGGGCAGGCGATTGAGCTTAAGCCTTTGTGCCCAATGCACAGATATTTCTTAAGATCTTAAAACAGTCTGTATCATTGTTTTCAGTAGAAAACAATTATTTGGAAACTTCTTAATAAGACATTTTGGTTTGAAACAACTATTAAGGTACGTAGTAGGGGTCAGAAGATACAGACTTCTCATTGTGAAATAAATAAGTCCTGGGGATGTAATGTACAGTCTGGTGACTATAGTATATAATTCTGCCTTGCATATTTGAAAGTTGCTAAGAGAGTATGTCTTTTAAAAAGGGGGTACGTGGTATGTGAAACAGCTGTTAAGTCCACATGGAGAAGTGAATTTTACTTGCATTGATTAGGATACAAGTTAAAGTACCTATTGAAGAGATTCAGAATAAAGTGGCTTGAATAGGAGTCAGAGGCTAGTGGTCAAGGCGGGCAGGGCAGCTCTGCTCCACGGGGTCATTCAGGGACCCAGGTCCCTTCTGTCTCGTGCTGTCCCCTGGAGTGGTGTCCTTGTTTGCATGTCAGAGTGAGGTGTCTGCCATATGCACATTTCAAACCCAGAGAGGAGGAAAGAGGAAGTCTTCAAGGAGAGACCCCCGCCACCACCACATTGCACATGTAACTTCTGCTCTTCTTCCTCAGGCTCAGGCTAACCTTGTAGCACACGAAGCTGTAAAGGAAACAGGGAAATGTTGTTTGCAGCTGTGTGGCCATGGACGTAGCTGAAATTTAGTAGGCTTTACTAGTAAAAGAAATAAGAGAACATATGCTGGCTCTGGGGGGAAGGTAAAGAGAGGGCAGAGCTAGTGTTTTTGCCACATAGGTGAAAATAGAGTAACTAGGGAGAGGTAGAAAGGGAAATTTTCTTTTTTTTTTTTTAAGGGAACTTTATTATTTTTATTTATTATTTTTGGCTGCGTTGGGTCTTTGTTGCTATGCGGGCGCTCTCTAGTTGTGGCGAGCAGGGGCTACTCTTCGTTGCGGTGTGTGGGCTTCTCATTGCAGTGGCTTCTTGTTCAGGAGCACGGGCTCTAGGCACGTGGCCTTCAGTAGTTGTGGCTCACGGGCTCTAGAGCGCAGGCTCAGTAGTTGTGGTGCACGGGCTTAGTTGTTCCGTGGCATGTGGGATCTTCCCGGACCAGGGCTCGAACCCATGTACCCTGCGTTGGCAGGTGGATTCTTAACTACTGCCTCATGAGGGGAGCCCAGAAATTTGCTTTTGATTTGATATCCGAATAAATAAATTCCTACTTGTCAATAAATTAAATTATGTTTTTTAAAGATTACTGAGAAAAAAAAGGCCAAGAAATATTTATTTTGGTATTTAGTTGAATAGTTGGAGTCAATGGGAAAATGTACTGGCATGTAATAAACTTTATTTATTTTCTTTTTTATACGTTTATTTATTTTTACTTTATTTTTGGCTGTGTTGGGTCTTCATTGCTATGCACGGGCTTTCTCTAGTTGTGGTGAGCAGGGGCTACTCTTCGTTGTGGTGACTTCTCTTGTTGCAGACCATGGGCTCTAGGCGTGCGGGCTTCAGGAGTTGTGGCATGTGGGCTCAGTAGTTGTGGCTCGCGAGCTCTAGAGCACAGGCTCAGTATTTGTGGCGCATGGGCTCAGTTGCTCCGCGGCATGTGGGATCTTCCTGGACCAGGGCTCAAACCCATGTCTCCTGCATTGGCAGGTGGATGCTTAACTACTGTGTCTCCAGGGAAGCCCCTGTAATAAACTTTAAACTGAAAAAATACTTTTATGTTTTTAGGTTTTACACATCTGTAAGTAGACCTTTCCGGAGCGCTGCCAGCAGACCCCATGGCGTCCTCTACTACTGTGCCTCTAGGATTTCACTATGAAACAAAGTATGTTGTCCTCAGCTACTTGGGACTCCTCTCTCTGGAGAAGCTGCAGGAGCAACATCTTTCCTCACCCCAAGGTATTATCTTTGGCTTGTGGTGGTTGTATTAAGTAGTAATAATTACTTCATGTGTGCAAAATTATATGTATCTAAGTAACTTATAGCTCTGGTTATAAGATTGAATAATACTAATAGGCTCTTAAAGAATAAGAGCCACTCCATCCCTTCCCATCCCCTCATCCATTCCCACAAGCATGACTTTTCATGTTTTTTAAGAGCTCGATATTTTATTTATTTATTTTTTGGCCGTACCATGCGGCTTGCGGGATCTTAGTTCCCTGACCAGGGATTGAACCCATGGCCCCTACAGTGGAAGCCTGGAGTCCTAACCACTGGACCGCCGGGGAATTCCCAAGAGCTCCATATTTTAAATGATTGCCATTGGTACAGGGAAAAATGTAAATAAACAGAAACCCATCTGCCTTTAGAGATTTCATACTTAGCAAGCCATAGATTAGAATTATATAATTATTTTTAAAGTTTATAACACAGTTGAGTTCCTCAAATTACTTTTTTCAAGGCTATTAGGGTTTTTTTTTAATTGAAGTATAGTTGATTTACAATCTTGTGTTAGTTTCAGGTGTACAGCAAAGTGATTCAGTTATATATATATACATATATATCTTTTTTTTTCAGATTCTTTTACCTTATAGGTTATCACAAAATATGGAGTAGAGTTCCCTGTGCTATACAGTAGGTCCTTGTTGTTTATTTTATATATAGTAATAGGGATATTAGATGTAAACAGTCGATCAGACTTAGAGAGTTTTTAGCGCAGTTCTTTGTATCACGAAGTTGTATATGTCCTTCTTTAAATAATTTGCCAAACGAAGCTTGAAACAGTTACTAGAGGCTGAATTAATCTTCTTCGTTAAGATGCAACATCATCATCTTAAATATTCTTATCCATAGATTTTTACTACAGCCATGGAGGTAGTTCTTATTTATTTGCTGCTATTTTAGCTCAAGAATGGGTAGTGTTGGTACTAGGACGACACGGAATTCATGTCTACTCACAACTAGGGCACCTACTAGGCACCAGTGGGGGACCACAGACACCTAAGGGGACGAGAGGAACCCCCAGCGACTGGGGAGGACGTGGGCATAGGGGGAGTGAAGGGGGAGGAGAAGTGGAGGCCGGATGGGACAGGAGCCCCTGAGGGGTGGCTTGGGGAGGGGAAGGGATCCCACGCCCGAAGGGGGAAATTGGGGAACCATTGGGAGGACAGAGGATCAAAAGGGGGCATGGCCAGGTTTCCCCTGTCCACTTGGGCCCCTGGGAAGCTGTTGAGGTCCCCAGCCTGATCCTCTGCCCACCCAGGCCCCCTCCAGCCACGCGGGTCCTGAGGGAGTGGGAGGCAGGGAAGGGGGAGCAAAAGTAAAGGCCGGACCTCCGGGACCGGCACCCCTGAGGGGCGGCTGGGGGAGGGGACCCACCCACGGTTAGGGGTCCACCCACCCAGCGGGACCCAGCCACGGTTAGGGGTCCAGCAGCAACTGGGGAGACCCTGGGGGAGACGGTGGGGGAGGGGCGCGAAGGAATGGATGGGAACGGGGCCAGCACTTTCCCTGTCTACTCAGGCACTGGGGAGCCTGTTGGGCTCCCGGCCTAATCCTCTGCCCTCGGAGCCTCCCTCCTGCCGTGCAGAGCCCAAGCCCCGCCCCTGCACCCCCAGCCAGGGCCCCACCTCTACACTCAGAGACCCCCCCCTGAGACCCCCTCCAATGTGCTGGGCCTAAGCCCCACCCACACATGCTCACTCAGGGCCCTACCTCCAGACTCCAGAACCCCACACTCCAGAGGCCCTCCTTTCCACATGCTGCCTCTCCCCTTCTGGGCAGGTCCTAAGCAGAGGCCTCGCCCCACACTGAAGGTCGCCCTGCCTAGGCTCTGCCCCATGCTCACACCCCCACCCCCCACCGCCTAAGTCCCACCCTACCCTAAACCCCAGCCCTGCCTAAGTTTCACGCCCTGCCTAAACTACCCCCCCAAGGCCAAGGCACTTTTTTTTTCTTTCTTTTTTCCGCTGTGGTTTTATTTTACCTTATTGCAGTTGTTTCAATTATAGTTTTATTTGTCCTAATACATTTTTTATCTTATTAATTTTATTTTGTTTTTTATTTTTTGATATTGTACTGCTCCTTTTTGTCTTTCTTTCTTCCTTTTGTTTTTCTTTTTTTTTTTTTCTGTGCCATGCAGCTTGTAAGATCTTGATTCCCAGGCCGGATATCAGGCCCAAGCTCCTGTGGTGGGAGCTCCGAGTCCAAACCTCTGGACTAACAGAGAACCTCAGACCCCAGGGAATATCAGTCGGAGTGAGGCCTCCTGGAGGTCCTCATCTCAGCACCAAGACCCAGCTCTATCCAACTGCCTGCGAACTCCAGTGCTGGATGTTTCAGGCCAAACAACCAGTAGGACAGGAATACAGCACCAATCATCCAAAAAAAAAAGAAAAAGAAAAGAAATGACAAAAAAATATGTTACAGACAAAGGAGCAAGGTTAAAAACCTAAAAGACCAAATAAATGAAGATGAAATAGGCAACCTACCTGAAAAATAATTCAGAGTAATGATAGTAAAGATGATCCAAAATCTCAGAAACAGAATGCAGAAAATACAAGAAAAATTTAACAAGGATCTAGAAGAACTAAAGAGCAAACAAACAGTGATGAACAACACAATTACTGAAATGAAAAATACTCTAGAAGGAATCAATAACACAGTAACTGAGGCAGAAGAACAGATAAGTGAGCTGGAAGATAAAATGGTGGAAATAACTGCCAGGGAGCAGAATAAAGAAAAAAGAATGAAAGGAATTGAAGGCAGTCTCAGACCCTCTGGGACAACATTAGACGCACCAACATTCGAATTATAGGGGTCCAGAAGAAGAGGAGAAGAAGAAAGTGTCTCAGAAAATATTTGAAGACATTATAGTTGAAAACTTCCCTAACGTGGGAAAGGACATAGTCAAGTCCAGGAAGCACAGAGAGTACCATACAGGATAAATCCAAAGAGAAACACACGGAGACACATATTAATCAAACTATCAAAAATTAAATACAAAGAAAAAATATTAAAAGCAGCAAGGGAAAAGCAACAAATAACATATACAAGGGAATCCCCATAAGGTTAACAGGGGATCTTTCAGCAGAAACTCTGCAAGCCAGAAGGGAGTGGCAGGACATATTTAAAGTGATGAAAGGGAAAGACCTACAACCAAGATTACTCTACCCAGGAAGGATCTCATTCAGATTCAATGGAGAAATTAAAACCTTTACAGATAAGCAAAAGTTAAGAGAATTCAGCACCACCAAACCAGGTTTAAAACAAATGCGAAAGGAACTTCTCTAGGCAGGAAAAACAAGAGAAGGAAAAGACCTATAAAAACAAACCCAAAACAGTTAAGAAAATGGTAATAGGAACATACATATTGATAATTACCTTAAATGTAAATGGATTAAATGCTCCAACCAAAAGACATAGACTGGCGGAATGGATACGAAAACAAGACCCATATGTAAGCTGTCTACAAGAGACCCACTTCAAACCTAGGGACACATACAGACTGAAAGTGAGGGGATGGAAAAAAAAAAGATACTCCATGCACATGGAAATCAAAAGAAAGCTGGAGTAGTAATTCTCATGTCACACAAAATAGACTTTAAAATAAAGACTATTACAAGAGACAAAGAAGGACACTACAAATGATCAAGGGATCAATCCAAGAAGAAGATTTAACAATTGTAAATATTTATGCACCCAACACAGGAGCACCTCAATACGTAAGGCAAATGCTAACAGCCATAAAGGGGAAAATAGACAGTAACACGATAATAGTAGGGGACTTTAACTCCCCACCTTCACCAATGGACAGGTCATCCAAAATGAAAATAAATAAGAAGACACAAACTTTAAATGACACATTAAACAAGATGGACTTAATTGATATTTATAGGACATTCCATCCAAAAACAACAGAATACACTTTCTTCTCAAGTGCTCATGGAACATTCTCCAGGATAGACCATGTCTTGGGTCACAGATCAAGCCTTGGTAAATTTAAGAAAGCTGAAATCGTATCAAGATCTTTTCCAACCACAATGCTATGAGAGTAGATATCAGTTACAGGAAAAAAAATGTAAAAAATACAAACACATGGAGGCTAAACAATACACTACTAAATAACCAGGAGATCACTGAAGAAATCAAAGGGGAAATCAAAAAAATACCTAGAAACAAATGACAATGAAAACACAACTACCCAAAACCTATGGGATGCAGCAAAAGCAGTTCTAAGAGGGAAGTTTATAGCAATACAATCCTACCACAAGAAACAAGAAAAACCTCAAACAACCTAACCTTACACCTAAAGCAATTAGAGAAAAAAGAACAAAAAAAATCCCCAAAGTTAGCAGAAGGAAAGAAATCATAAAAATCAGATCAGAAATAAATAAAAAAGAAATGAAGGAAACAATAGCAAAGAGCAATAAAACTAAAATCTCGTTCTTTGAGAAGATAAACAAAATTGATAAACCATTAGCCAGACTCATCAAGAAACAAAGGGAGAAGACTCAAGTCAACAGAATTAGAAATGAAAAAGGAGAAGTAACAACTGACACTGCAGAAATACAAAGGATCATGAGAGATTACTACAAGCTACTATATTCCAATAAAATGGGCAACCTGGCAGAAGTGGACAAATTCTTAGAAAAGCACAAACTTCGAGACTGAACCAGGAAGAAATAGAAAATATAAACAGATGAATCAGAAGCACTGAAATTGCAACTGTGATTAAAAATCTTCCATGAAAGAAAAGCCCAGGGGCTTCCCTGGTGGCACAGTGGTTGAGAGTCCGCCTGCCGATGCAGGGGACGTGGGTTCGTGCCCCGGTCCAGGAAGATCCCACATGCTGCGGAGCGGCTGGGCCCGTGAGCCATGGCCGCTGAGCCTGCGCGTCCAGAGCCTGTGCTCCGCAACGGGAGCGGCCCGCGTACCGCAAAAAAAAAAAGAGAAAAGAA